AAATAAAAAAAAAAAAAAGAACTGTCTCTAAGGGTCTTCAGAACTAACCTATGTTTAAGTAGTACTAAACTGGTTTAAGTAGAAGCTGATTTGAAACTGTGAGATGAACTTGAATGGAGTTTTCAAATATCCAGAATAAATGAAATACACACACACACACAAAAAAAAGAAAATGTGATGTGTACACACACACACACACACATACACACACACACACACACACACACACACACCATGGAGTACTACTCAGCCATAAAAAAAGAATGAAATAATTTCTTTTGCAGCACCTTGGATGGAACTAAGTGAAATATGTCAGGCATAGAAAAACAAATACCATATATTCTCACTTATAAGTGAGAGCTAAATGAGGGGTATCTATGGTCATTAAGTGATGCACTGGACATTAAAAACTAAGAAGGGAGGAGGGTGAAAGGGAGGTGAAGGATAAAAATCTACCTATTTTGTACAATGTACACTCTTCTAGTGATGGATACACTAAAAGCCCTGATCTCAGCATTATACAATGCATGCATCCATGTAACAAAAAACACTTGTACCCCCTAAATCTATTGTCATAAATAAATAAAGAAGCAATGTAAATTCTCTGACTCCACCACAGACCTACTCAATCAGAAACTCAGGGGTGGGGCCCAGCTCTCTATGGTCCTATAGCCCTTCAGTTTTACCAGATTCTAAAGTAAGCCCCTTCTTTGAAGGCAAAAAGTCAGCTGGTAGCTTCCAAATGATGATTTTTCTACTCTAAGAATATCATGGGATTTAAATCTTTTGAGGTTCAGGCTCAACCCAGGTCATCCTACTACAGTGTATTGTTAAATAACTAAGTTCATTGACTTAATTCAAAAGCTTAAAAATGAAAAGCAAACAAAAGAGTATAAATGTGCTTTGGCTTATGCAAGTGATCATTATTGTAACTATGTGACCCACTCACCATTTTTAAATGCTCAAATGTCAAACTGCTTAAAAATTACATCTTAATATATTTTTAAAACATATCCTTCCCCTCACCATGGGAGGATATCTCTGAAAGAGATAATCAAAGGGAAGCTGTTTCATTCCTTACCTATTTTTACCTACACACAATTCATCTCAGTAAAAACACTCCTGCCTAAATCAAGAGCAACCTGTCCTGGAGCAGACCAGTCGTACATTCCTTTGCTATTGCATATGCCGTAAATTGTAACAGAGGAGAAAAAGCACTCCCAAATAAAATGTACAATACTAGAGAGCAGCACAGCTGTGCATCATGCAGTGTGTGACGAGTTGATACAATGAGCCAAGAGCATCATCACTTCTCTTGGTTTGGGGTCATTGTGTCTTCCCAGGTCACAGAAGTTTGGCAGCTGTAACTGAGCAGTCTGCAGACATCAGGATTTGTGTAAAGGAGATGCAGAGAGAAAAGAAAATTTTGAAATACAAAAAGTATCGTTTATCTAGGATGACTATAGTTAACAATAATTTATTGTATATTTCAAAATAGCTAGAAGATTTAGAACGTTCCCAACACAAAGATATGGTAAATGTTTGAGGCGATGGATATCCCAATTACCCTGATTTGATCATTACACATTGAATGCTTGCATCAAAACATCACATGTACCCCATAAATATGTACAACTATTATGTATTAATAAAAGTATAGTTTATGAAACACTTCAGCAATTTACTATAATTATATAATTACATAGTATAATTATAATAATCTGCAACAAAAAGTAATTAGGAAATGCCAAGAGGCATCAAATGCCAAGGTGAGCAAATGACAAGATTGTATCCAACTCTTTTGCAGCAATTTACATCTGTCTATTTACATCCACAGCAAAGTCACTTATACATGTCAGCCCCTGGTTCCCTATTACTCTGCCTGTGCCCCACTCTTGACAAACTTCTGATAGGATTCTTCAGAAGAATCCTTCATTCTTCGAAATGCTGGCTCATTTTGCCCTTCAACCTGGTCACGCATTAACTTAGGCTAAAGGTATTCCAGTTACTGTCAGCTTACAACCAGAATTGCCCTCCGCTCTCGATTTGAAATTATTGCATCCTCCCAATTAATGCATTTCAACCTCCCTCTCTCTCTCTCTCTCTCTCTCTCTCTCTCAACATGAGCACTCTAAATCCACAGAGGGCTGAGGGAATATTTCTCCCAGATCTCCCCACAGGGCTCATAAACCTATGCGAAGCTTAACTGTGCACCATTCTTCATGTAACCTGACAGAAGGCCTTCCTCCTAGAGTCAGAGAAACCTGCATTCGGGTTTGTGGGGAAATCACAGCTTCTTCCAAGAACAATGGCTGTGTACACAGGCTGTACATTTCACTAACTAAAGGGTCCAATCAAGTGGTTTTCTCAAAACAAAAGAAAGCCTTGCCCGAAAGGTAAATTCACAAACATCCTACTCTTTCAGGGAAGAATCACATGAAATGTTATTATATACATATATATATTTAAGTCAGAAAATTACTACGAAGAAAACATAACATGGCTCTATACTCCCACCATGTTAACATTTTTCTCTATGTATGTACAAATACAAGTAATAAAAGTGATATATGGGGGGTGGGGCAAAAAAGTGATATATACACATGCCATGAAAATTCAAATAATATAAAAAATCTTCATCGTAAATGTAAGTCCCATTTTTAGAAAACAGAAACACCAGGCAGCAATAGATGCATATTTCTTGTTTTTTTTTTTTTAAGGGTCTGTGGCATTCCATTGTATGGCTTTATCAACATTTATTTAACTAGTTCCCTTTTAATGATTTACGGACATTTAGGTTTTCAGGCTTCTTGTGGGGGGCGAGGAGAGCATGGAACATTAGAGTTCTTACACATAATGCTGTAATAAACATGCTTATGAGTATATAATGGTATAGTATTGTGACCATGTTTACAAGGCAAATTCTAGTAGTGGAATTACTGGGTCGAAATCATGGACATTTTAAATTTTGACACATATTGGTTGTAACAATTTACCTTCCCAACACTGGTAATATCATACTTGTTACGTTTTGCCAGCCCGATAGGCAGAACATGGTATCTAATTGTGGTCTTGAGTTAGATTTGTTAAATATCTTTCCATTGGTCTGTTGGCCATTTGTATTTGTTTTCTATTAGCTACATGTCCACATCTTTTGCTCATTTTTCTATTGAATTGTTCCTATTTTTCTTACTGAGTTTTAAGATTTCTTTGTAAATCAAGCTATGTAGTCATTATTATTATGTACTGTAAATATTGCTTCCAGCATGTCATTTATCTTTTGATTTTGTACATATTACTTTCTGTTGTACAAAAGTTTCAGGTATTTATCCAGTCAGATTTAGTCATTTTCTTTATGGCTTCTGGGTATGTATAACTTTTGAATGACAGTTTTTATAGATTGTGCCTAGTAAAGTTTAGAAAACATCTTGGGCCTGAATGCAGCCTATGCTGTGTCGACAGGGTAGCACCCATCCTTGCAATGTGGGTAAGTAATAATAATAAGTAATAATAAGCACTGAGTAGTGAGGCTCATGACAGCATCAGAGGGCTTTTGCTTCTCTTGTCTCCTCAGAACAGCCAGATCTGGAATCAGAATTCCTTTCTTTGTAGCCTGACACTGGCCTAGACATCCCAATGGATGGGGACATAGCCCAATGACTACATTCCTTATAGAACCAGTCATGCTTTTCTTCTGCTAAAGTAGCAGATGGTCAACTTCATTAAATACAATATAATTCATGCTATTTGGAGGTTTTGTTGTAGAGGTGTTTTTTCCTCCTTTTTTGTGTGTTCAAAAAGAGTAAAAGACTTTATTTTTAAAAATCAGCCTAGTTAGTAATATTTTATGTTTACTTTTGTTTCTTATAGGCAGCTTCAGAAGATGGTCCATGATATTAAGAACAATGAAGGTGGAATAATGAACAAAATCAAAAAGTAAGCTAGACTGTATTTAAATATTTAGTTCTATAAGATAAGTCAGCCGGTGCTATGTTGAAGAAAACAAATTTCTCTGTTATCCAAGTGAGGAGTTACAATCTTATTCACGTGTAGGCCTTTCTTACTATTGGCTAGAATCCATGGTGGTTAGGTCCACATTCTGGAAATATGGTGCGTGAGTAAGGTGGCACTCAGGGAAGTTTGATTTTCCTTCTCATCGCGGGGAAAGTGAACTATGCCCATTCAAGGTGCCTGGCAAACGTCAAAGCAGGAAAACCAGCTCTATAACCCTTTAGCTGAGGGCGGCCAGGACATGCTTGGAGAAATCCAAAGGAGAAGTTACAAAATACAGCCAGGCTTCTATAGGATGCCATGTCGGTTTTCTATATTTTGACTTCTGCTTTTTCAATTATTGCCTTAAAATGGTGTTTTCACAATTGGCACTTGGAAAGCTAGAATCCCAAAACTTCTTGCACACTAAAAACTCTTAAGCTTTCTTTAAAGAAAATAGAAATTATATGTACCTGCATTTGCCACTCAAAATCTAAGTCATGAGAAAAGGAGAAATGGTATTCTGTTAAGTTTTTAAGTTTTTTTTTAATGAAAGTAATACGGGAAAAAAAATCAAGAATTCAGAATTGTAGGAAGTAAAGTCTCCCACTTTTCATATCTCCACTTTAACCCATTCCCAGAAACAGACATTGTCATGAGTGAGTTCAATATATCTGTATGTATATGGTTACATGCACATGCAAACGCTGACGCAGTACATACCTGTACGCACAGAGATTTGACGTTGTACTACATACACCATTCTACTAGCTTGTTTTGCTGCTTTTACTTAATGCTATTATCATAGACATCTTTCTTTGTTAGTATGTAAAAATAAACCATATTCTCTTTTGAATGGCTGATTAATAGTATACTATAAATGTATTATAATTCAATTAACTAGCGACATTGTGGTGGACAGTTTTTAAAGGGAGGGAGGGATGAATTTATACTGGCATAACATTTTTGCAGGCCAATTTGATAATATCTACCAAAATTCTCTGGCCATTTCTTTCAGTATCACTGTCACAAATAATACTTCAATAAATATCCTTTGCAGACCTTGAATGTACCAGTAAACTAAATTCCTGAAATGAAATTTCTGCATGGAAGGAGCTGTGTTCTTACATTTTTGATTACTATTACCAAATTTTTCTCCCAAAATTTTGTACCAAAAATAGTATATAAAAATTCATTTCTCTGTGCCTTCAGAACGGGATGAAACACTTTTACTCGACAAACATGTTTCTTCTCAGCCTGGAAAATATGGCCACGATTAGTCATCACCCTGAGTGAAGTCAAGGGCCCTTCAGCTCAAAGTGACCCGCAGTTACACTCTCACTTGAAGCCAAGCAGCAGGTGCTACCTTGAAAGGAGGAAGCACACAGTCGAACACACTGGTTCCCTAACACGAGACCGTGACAGAGTTTTCACTGGTCTAAGGCCGCATAAGAAAATAAGGACCTTGACGTGTTGGGGGTTGGTGTGCAGCTGCCAGCTACTAAGTAAGTTCAAACCACACCTTTTATTCCTGGCCTGTGTTCAGTGGCCAACAGTCCTTTCATGAGTTTGTCCTCTATTCTGAGGTGATTTGGGGATGTCAAAATACCCTTTGTTTTCTTTGATGAAATGATAGCAGATAATGGTTTTTGTTTTTTGAAATTTTACTCTTCCATGACCTGACCTGGGCACTAGAACCAGTTTTGATT